ATAAGGTGACAGGAAATAATAAGGTTCACTCCAAAGCCAAAAATAATGCCCTTGCTTTTATCTAATAGTCCTTAATGTGAAAGGTTTATTATAGTGTGTTGTTCGCTGTAGTGTCTGAACAGTATAGTCATGTAAAAAAAGAGTACATCATTTCCCTATGTATTGTTCACTTCAGTAACCCTTATTGTGCTGAGATCTACTGTTCTGAGACACTTCTTGTTGAGCACCGGGCTGCTGTGATGTAGAAACTCCAGTATAATGTCACCATGGAATGAAGTGGACAGCTTCTGTACATTGATGGTTTATTATTTGCATGGTCAAAACTAAACACAGGTAGTTTGTCATGTGGAATGTATGTTTTACAACCTCTCAAAATCCAGCAAAAGGGCTAGAAAAATTAAAAAGGAGATGGAGGATGACAACTAGGGAGAAAGCAACAAAAAATAGTGGTGGTGACCAACAAGTCCTCTGTTCACATGCAAGAATGATGTAGACTCTAAAGTTTACAGAGGAGCAACCAACACGTTAATTTTAATACCCCAAGAAATAAGTAAACACGTGTTCATCTCTCAGCTACTTCTAATATTAGCAAAAAATGAAGAAATACTACAATAGGGATATAGAGAGGTATGAAACATTGGTAGATGTTAATATGTAGTGAACCTTGGAAAAATACAAACTAGCATCTGTGGGAAATCTGCAACAAGTATTCAGTAGTAGAAACAAGGAATGCTGAAAGATCTTGCCAATTGCTGACAGCAAATTAGATACAAGTTTGCCTTGGGTGATGGCATCCAGAAAGGCTAACACAATTTTGGATGCATACACAGAAATATTAGGAGGAGGAGGATAGGGAAATATTAGTACACTCTCTGTATCGCTATCATGTGGCCATCCTGGGAATACTATATGGTGTATTTGAAAAGTGTGTTGAAATTGTAGACTATTCATTTAATTTGTAAGGGGTTTTCTTGTCCTGCTTGTAGGCTAGAAGGGGCTCTTTAGGGAAGTGTGCAATAGAGCACACAGACAGTGGCCCTAGAGTAAGGTGGATGGAGTAGTGCCTGCCTGTTATCGGGAGCAGCCTGCTTTGTCTCTATCTGTTCTGGGGTTCTTGTGTTATTCTGAATTCTAAGAAAGAAGGTTACTAAGGTTACATTGCAACCTTCCAGCAACAGTATTTTATGTTATCTAACTTCTCTGTTTGAATGCTGTGAAATATTGTGTTCAATTCAGGCCACATTACCAGACAAACTGGAGGAAGTACAGAGAACAGCATCAGATATGATCAGGGGGTTAGTAAAACTGACATAAGTACAGGTTAATAAGAGCTTAATATGAATAACTTACCAAAGAAGTGGTTAAGGAAAGGATATGAGCAGCCTACAAATATTGTAAATGTGTAAAGGGGAATTAACTAAGAGTAATGGAATGAAATTAAAGGACATTAAGAATGAATAGCAGGAAGAACTTCCTAAGAGTAAAAAATAGATCAAGTTGTAGAATTTAGTTTGCAAAGGGAACTAGGGGGAGCCACATACTTGGAAAATTCAAAAAGACACTGGGCAAAATACTGCCAAATACACTTGAGGAACAATTGTGAACTGGCAGGGAGAGGGCTAATACGCCTTTTTCTATTTCTAATTTTTATGATTCTATAAGGCATTTTAGCAATGATAGGGAAAGTTAATTGAAAAAAATCCAGGAAGAACTCCCCATATTATCATTGATGCCACTGACTATCTCTATGCCACTGGCATTTGCCCCACATTTTCTGAAAATCTGGAGATAAAGATAGTAGACATGCTTCCAGGGACTTGGGTCTTCTCTAATGTGATCAGAGAGAAACAGAGGAAGAAAGATATACCCCAAGTTTTTTTTCTATCAATGTTTGTGACAATTTTTTTCTTTTTACAAAGAGTGTCCAGGACTGGTCCAATTATGGTGCAATAGTACTTTGCACCTCCTCCTGTATAGGGCAGAGGTTAGATAGCCATTCTCAGACTCGTAAGACAAGGAGAAGCACAACTGGAAACATATCAAAGCTGGGTCTTGTGCTTAGAAAGGCAAAGCCATAATATCAGGCTATCAGGACAGACTACAAATAAAACTGATACATATAGAGTAGGTTGGTGAGTTTACAATCTGATTTTACTAGACTTTATATCTGTGTGGTTTGCAATGGGATATTTTATGCTTAATTTACAAAGCCTGAAGCCACAAATAACCTATATTATTTTTGCACAGAACTACAACTAGACGTCTTCTAAAGCAGCTTAGGAACTTCCAACACTCCTGTGACCAATACAAAATCATTGCTATAGTGAAATAAGAATATAAGACTGGCCTTACTGGGTCAGACCAATGGTCCTGCTAGCCCAGTATCCAGTCTTCCAACTGTGGCAGGTGCCAGATGCTTCAGAGTGAGTGAACAGAACAGGGCACTTTATTGAGTGATCCACCCCGTCCTCCAGTCCCAGCTTCTAACAGTCAGATGTTTAGGGACACCCTGAGCAGGGGTTGTATCCCTGACATCTTGGCTAATACCATTTATGAACCTATCCTCCATGAATTTATCTAATTCTTTTTAGAACCCAGTTATAGCTTTGGCCTTCACAACATCATCTGCCAAGGAGTTCCACAGGTTGACTGTGTATTGTGTGAAGAAGTACTTCCGTATGTTTGTTTTAAACCTGCTGCCAATTAAGTTAGTTAGGTGACCCCTGGTGTGTGTGTTATGGGAAGGGGTAAATAACACTTCCCCACTTCACTTTCTCCACACCATTCATGATTTTATAGACTTCTATCACATCTCCACTCCATAGTCTCTTTTCCAAGCAGATTCATACACTGAGAGATGTACTTTGGAAACTAATTTCACTGCATTGTTATATATGTACAGTGAACAACAATTGGCTACCTACAGGGATCATGACTGGAAGCTCTCTTAACAAGGCACCTGTATTATGAAAAAGTTTGAGAACAACTGGATTAGTCAATTGCCATCACCTAATCTAAATGACATGCAAACAGATATGAATGGTGAAAAGAAAATTAAATTGTAAAACTTCTTTCTATTTCAGTAAATAAAAGGCATAAAAAATACAAAGTAAGGATATTTGTTTAAAAAATGATGAGGTTGCACCTGACAGTGACCTCTTAACAGCATCGTCTTAGGAACAGGGCAATAAAATGAAAAAAATCTATGGTCAGCATTACTATATCGCTGTGTTGTAGACACAAAACCTACTGTAGTCTCCTCAGTAATTCTTCCCACTGACAAGCACAAAATGGAAACAGTAACTGTTCCTCTTTCACAGACTGCATTGTACAAATGTATTGAATCAGGAACTCTGCTAAATTACAGAATAAAATGATTAGAATAAAAACATTTGCGAAATTCACTAATCCTGCTCTCAGTTACATCTGTGTCAGATGTAACTCCTTTAGAGTCAGTGGAACAATCCACATGCAAAACTGGCTTAGGGGAGATCAGAACCACTGTTCTTTACCTTATTAGTGTCAAAAGGGATAACCAGAAAGAAAGTAAAGTAAGATGTTAGTATGGAGCCAAAAACTGTTTTCATTATTGTCTTCAGGGATTCTGATAAAATACTTAGCTAGAGTGCTTATAACTCTCTGACCTGCCTGAGGAGAAAGGTTATTTCCCTGCAGAGTTTTCTTATTTTGCCAATGATATTTCTCTATTTTTCCAATAAAGCAGCAGCTTTGGTTTTTACTTCCAGCTGTGCATCAGTAAGAATGTACATAGCCTATTCTACAATAGTAATACATTAGTAATTAGTAATGCGTTACAATAATACATTAGTAATTAGTAATGCGTTACAACAGTAATACATTATATTAACTATAACTCACCAAAATAACTAATTTTCTTACAATTACTTTCAGAGGAGAGGGATTTTCCTCCCCCCCTTAGACATTTATACTGTGCAGCTCATTTTGGGGGAATAGATCTCAATATTGATGCACAAATGGTTAATATTATAATTTCTAATTCTAATTTTACAATCTTACAATTATTACAGTCTTGACTTCACCTTTGCTGCATTTTAAGATATAAAATTATTTTCATATGTATTATGCTAGAGAAAATATGGATAGCTTGCATGTTTATGTTTTTGGTTGCTTATTTAATTAAATGAAATATTCAAGCTAATTAAGGAAATTCCTAGGAATTCTCCGGTTTCACCAACCAGTGACAAACACCACAAGTGTCAAAGAGGATGACACCACCTTCCCCATAAAACCTCACATTTGTTACCTCCAAGTGTGTTTACACAACTCAGGAATGAAGTTTTATAATTTTTATTTTGCTTTTAACATTCTATACTATTTTCTTTTATTCTAGGTTTTGAAAAATGTATGCAAGTGTTAGTTATTGTGATTTGTATCGAACACTGGATAGGAGTCCTTAACTGCAAGTTGTAAATGTACTACATATGCTAGGTTGCAGAGCAAGGAATTATTTGATCAAAAGGCAAACCGTCACCAAGTGTGTCTTCCAAAAGAACTAGGCACATTCCCCTTGCACAAGCACTGTTATGGTTAAAATATGATCTTTATCTCACAAAAGCAAACTTTGTGAAATATTTACGTCTGTCTTAGAAAGAGACCTGGTTGTGTAAAAGAAAATGAGGATTCTTTATTCAGAATACTTCAAAGAGGAGTGATGCTTAGGATATGTTTTCAGAGCTATAAACTAGGTCATGAAAGTGGGCCTTCTTTACCTCGCTGCTTTGTAAAGAGAAAAAACATCTGTAATAAAAAAAAGTGGGGGGATAGCTCCCTTTGATGGACACGCAGCCAGCCAGTTAGCTGTAAAATCCCTCCTGGTAGCTGTTCTTTGCTTGCTTTACTTGTAAAGGGTTAAAAAGTCCCCCAGGTAAAGAAAAAAAGTGGGCACCTGACCAAAAGAGCCGATGGGAATTTAGAACTCTTTAAAATTGTGAAAGAAACTTTCCCTTTGTCTGTTCTCTCTGGGCTGAAGGGTCAGAGCAGCCATTCTATAAGCAGCTAAGCCAGATATGATTATAAGTCATCAGATCACGCCTAGAACTACTTATCTGAATTCCAATGTGTAAGTAGATCAGAAGGTTTAGCTAGATTTGATTAGGGTTACTTCTTTTATTCCTTATTGGCTTGTGGATTCCTCTGTGCTAACCCCAGATGCATTTGTTTTGCTTGTAACCTTTAAGCTGAACCCCCAAGAAAGCTATTTTGGGTGCTTGATTTTTTGGACTTGCTCTTTTAAAATCTAGCAAAAGCCTAAGTTCCAGGTGTATTTTCTTTCTTTTTGTTTTTAATAAAATTTAAGATCAGGATTGTTTTTTAAGAACAGGATTGGATTTTTGGTGTCCTCAGAGATTTGTGCATTTTATTTGATTAGCTGGTGGCCAGAGCTAATTTCCTTTGTTTCCTTTTTCAGGTCTTCCCCCCGGGGGGGGGGGGGCAGCGGGTGAAATGGCTGGAGGGCACCCCATAGGGAGGAATTCCCAAATGCTCCTTCCTGGGTTCAAAGGGGGTTGTTTGCATTTGGGGGGTGGCAGCGTTTACCAAGCCAAGGTCAGAGAAAAGCTGTAACCTTGGGAGTTTAATTCAAGTCTGGAGGGGCCAGTATTAATTTTTTAAATCCTTGCGGGCCCCACTTCTGTACTCGGAGTGACAGAGCTGGGATTCAGCCTTGACATCTCATCTCTCAAGCAAGCAAACAGCAGGAACAAGACAGCTAAGAAGAAAGAAGCCACAGCACAGCTTATTAAAGCAGCAACCTTCCAGTCCAGCACTTTGCTTCTACAACTTGATGACATTGCCAAGACTTCAGCATCATTGGTGAGATGGGAGTTTGCAAAACCACGGCCAAGGCTTTAGATTTAAACTTTTCTTGTAATAAATTTGAATGGGAAATTGAAATGCTATTTTAATTTAGGGTACTAACAGATTCTCCTGTTAAAGACCAGCTTGTTCAAACTATGGTCCTGGAGAGAAGCCATCAGCTAACCTTGGTACACAGAGGTATCATGGGATTTAATCTGAATTTAAGATTCTTTATATTCATTAATTTGCCTGTCTCAAGACTGCTCCTTGAATGGCTTCTTTTAAGTAACCGAGTTAAATACTTTTGGTTTCCTGGGTCGTAGTTATGATCACTCATTTCTGCCCATTTATAAACTGTTTATTCTATCTGTGATAATTCAAACAAGATTCACCAACCCTTAAATGAAATTCCTTTGCCCATCTATAAACTGTTTTAGTTATCTATGATACACAGACAGGATTCGCTACTGATTTGGGGAATAATATAATTTGGTTTTATCTTACCTAGAGAATCATAGAATATCAGAGTCGGAACGGATCTCAGGAGGTCATCTAGTCCAACGCCCTGTCAAAGCAGGACCAATCCCCAACTAAATCATCCAAGAGTGTAGAAGAGTGTCCCCACCAGAGCGTACCCACTCTAAAGGTGCAATCTTTGTTGAAAGCTCTCCAGTCAGACAGACAGAGGAGACTGTATCTGAAGTAACTAGTGTTTACTGCTTGTGTTCTGTTTTGTCTGTCTTTGATCACGGTGCTCCTTCAGGCCTGGTGTGCAGAACTCCATGTGACTAGACTACCCGGAATCACAATTCCTGAATTGGCATTGAGAGTCAATTAAGATGTGACCAACCATTTCTTGTTTCTTTAGACCAGAGATTCCCAAACTCTGGTACGTGCACGTGATGTGATGTTCCATCCATTCACTTCACAACAAATTTAAAATGGTGCAAGAACCAATAAAGTCCAGGAGCTGCTTCTCTAGGCTACAAATGTTTAGTAATTTTTGTGATAAAATTACTCGGTGCTCAACACTGTAAAACTCCCCTTTTTATCCTACACCATATCATAGCATCTTCCAACAATGTCAAACTGACAGTGCTCAACGATGTTAATTATAAGCATATTAGTAAATGTTTATTTTGTTAAATGATAATGCATTCTGCAGATTGGGAAAGAACATCACAAAGCTATTTCAGTAGACTGTTCTTCACAGAAAGCCTTAAGAACTACGAGCTATTTTGTAACATTTGACACTTCCACTGTTTGTCATAGCAGCTGAAATGAAAACAAAAGTTGCAATTTGCTGCCCACATATAATGTCACCAGGAACAATCATATAGAAATAAGGAACTGTTCCCTGCTGGAAAGTTTCAAAAGAAGTCATTTGTTTATGTGTCAGCCCCTTTGTCATTAAGCTACTCCACTTACAATTAAAATTCAATGCTATTTCCACTGATCCAGTGCAGTGCTATATTTGCTTAATGCTTGTATAATTAACAGCTTCACCTAGAGAGACTAATCAAAGACAGTGAGATAAAGACAAGGTAAGTCAGAAAGTGTACACATGGTTGGATTTTAAGATGAAACTACTGAATACTCTGAGTAGTTAAAATCTTTTTTAAGAATGGCAGAAGCCAATAAAGACAGACATAGACGTCTGAAATTTGTGGCCAAGTGGCCACAACTTTATTAATTTCATAAGAGGACACTTCCTGGGCCAACCTTCACTGGCAGCAGTGAAAAGAGAGAAAGGGCTGTGATGATCCCTCCGTCACCCGTCTTCACCCTTTTGATGTTGAAATCCCACAGTCTCAGGCTGTACATCACAAACCAACCATGAAAGTTCTCAAAGCACCCAGGCCAACAAACTACAAAAGTCAAAGTTCACAGGATGCCCAGGCCAACAGATCAGAGGTCCCCAAAGTGCCTGCAAGACACCCATGAAATTTTCCAGATCCAAGAATCTCCATACCAGTGACAAAGTCTGGCACATTATCCACACAATTGTTACACTCCGGGTGACCTGTGAAAAATACCACCTGTAACCAAAGTGTCCTGTGAAACTCAAAATACAACTTGCAAGCACAAACAGACTGCAAATTCATTGATACCTCCAACTCAACCACCAAGGATAGGGAACAAAAGATGGTATTTTCAATGGAGGGCAGAATTGGAATTGGCCTTCCTTTGCTTTTCTTGATAATATCAGCTGCTCTGTTCCTCAGCCAAGCCAAGAGCCTTTTTCATAGACCATGACTATCTAGTGAAAGCTCTCCTCCTCTTCCTCCTTCCTGCATTGGCTGACTGCTGCAACAAGGCAACCTAGGGGCCCATACTGCACTGCCCTGCAATTCCGAGACCAATGCACCTTTTGTGCATATGTAGTTTTATAGGCATGTATGGCTGGTTCTCTTTTAAATCAGATGGTGCTACAGTAAACAAGTGTTTCCACGCAGAAGGGAACGTGTAGTCATTTCTTTCCAAACTCTTAAATCAACTTGGAAGTTAAAAAAATGAGAGCTGAAAAAAACAACAAAACTCCCTCTCTCTGTCTCCAATCTTTTATAGTTAAGCTTCCATGTGACATGATCACCTAATTTGTATACTTCGCTAGTGGAGGTTTTAAATATTGATCTTCATTTCAAGGAAACATTTACAGGTAATTACTCTGAAAGTGGACTAATGGCTTACATTGGTTTGAAAATGAAGTTAAATGACTTCTTTAAATCAATTACATAAGCTGCCATATTTCTATTTGCTGACAATGCAGTATTTGGACTGATAATTATGCTCTAAGTCTCATTCACCACTCCATTACTCTGGTAAAACTTGACTAACTCCTCTGAAATCAGATATACCAGTATAATTCTGGAATAACAAATGCAGTTGTGAGTCAGGTGCTAATAAATTGATTTCCATCCTCTCTACTTTTTAGTAAGGTAAACAGATCATAAGCGATGTGTGGAATTTGCACAAAGGTTAATAAGAGCTGTCACAGTTTAGGGCAATTGCACCTGTATTGCCCCTCAGTGGCTCAGCAAGGACACCTGCTCTCAGCTACCAGCTCCCCAGCCATTCCCTTTCTGGGTGGAGACCCATATCTCTCTCCCTTCTGACTGGTATATACCCAGTCTGCAAAGTTCTCTGCTTTCACTGTGTATTTCCCAGCATAGACAGGTTGCCCAAGGACACATGCTTGCTTTATCTTCAGAGACTGATAACAAACTGATTGCTACAGCTACAAGTGACCACACAGCTTTAAAAAACAGTTCAGAGAAAACATTAAGAGCAATAAAAGTACCTACAGGCATGCCAGTAATAATACCAGAATTATCCCCAACCCTAACTTGCATTTTCACAAGCCAAGTCCTTTCAACCCTACCCTCAGAACTGGGCCCCTCCAAAGACTGGGGGGTTCAGATTGGCTGCTGGATCAGGAAGAAGGCCGTGAACTAATTTAAAACCAGTTTAAAACTATTTATCCAAAACCCCTATGTCAGTCTATGGAGAATCCACTTTAAACTAGTATATGCATGTCTCTCCAGCAAGGTTGCCTTCAAAGAGTTGGTAATAGCAGAAGTACCTTAGCATCCCCCTTCCCTACTAGAGAAGGAACATACAATGCCACATACACAACTGCATTTTTAATGCAATGTACCCCAAAGATATTAACACTAATTCATTAAGGTTTAACTTAATTCAATAAAGTTTATCTTAATTCCATAAGGTTTGTAACACAGGATAATGTTAGTCTGTCACAAGAGCCTCAATGCAGGGCCAATACAACCACTAGGCGGATTAGGCGGCCACCTAGGACACCAAGTGGTTGGGGGCGCCAAAAAGCGGTGACTCAAAAAAAAATTTTAAACAGCGAAACACCAGGCTGCCACTGCTCCCTGCCTCCCAGTTCCAGAGGGGCCTCCAGCGGCGCAGCTAGTCCCTCTCCCAGGGGGAGCAGCCGGCAGCAGAGCGGGGAAGAAGGCGCAGCTGCTAGCGCTGACCCTCCCCTTCCCCACGCCGAGGGCCGAGCCGGGCTCCCTGCCACCCCCGGGGCTCTCAGTGGCGGTGGTGGCGGTCGCGGCAGCGGCGGC